TGCAGAGTGGACACATGGTGGGGTACCCCATGGGTCTGGGGTGCTCCACAGGCCCAGTCTGCACTGGTAAGCCTCTGCTAAGGACCTGTGACAATGAGGGGCACCCTGTGCCTTACCAGCCTCCCCAGCTTGTGCCGGTTATTGGAAGCTCCTCACCCCAAACCCATACCTGCAAGCAGAGATTTTCCCAACTGCACCTGCATCTATTACTGTGACATCTAGGCACATCCATACCTGCTACTGGGACTCCCACCTGAGTGTGCACCTGTACCAAGACCCTTCTATGTACCTGTATATGTTATGGGGCCTTCCCATCCATACCTGTACCTGTTACTGGGATTGCTGTCAGTATCCATTGTGGGGATTCCCATCCATACTGGTACATGTTACTGGGACTCCCACATGAGTCTGTACCTATTACCAGGACCCTTATCAATACCTATACACATTACGGGGTCCCTCATCCATACCTGTCACTGGGGCCCCTGACTGTACCTGTTATCGGGATTCCTACCCATATCTGCACCTACTATCGGCATTCTCACTAATTCCTGTTACGAGATCCTCACCTGTACCTGTTCAGTGAACCTCACCCGTACCTGTCCCCGGGAGCCCCGCCCGGCCCCGCCGGTACCTGGTGGGCGCGGTCGGCGGTGCAGACCGCACCGCAGTCGTGCAGGACGACGCGCCCGGTCCCCGCCAGCACCAGCGCCGTCGCCACCTGAGCTCCGGTCCCGCGCAGCCCCGACACCAGCACCGCCGACTCGGGCAGACGCCGCGCGCCGCCGCCCAGCACATACCTGCGGGTACCGGCGGGAGCCGTCAGCGGGACCGGCACCGCTGCAGCGCGCCCTGCCCCGCTCGATGCTGCGGCGCTGCCGTCCCCGGTGCCGGTGCCGGTGCCCGCACTCACAGCTGCCGCGAGTACCGCGGCTCCCCCTCGCTTCCCGCCATGGCGGCCCCGCCCCGGGGAGGAGCCAGCCCGGGAGGCCCCGCCCCCAGCGCGGGCTCGGCGGCGCGCGCGGCAGGCCCCGCCCCAAACCGGTGCTCAGAGGCCCCGCCCCGGTGCTCAGAGGCCCCGCCCCAAACCGGTGCTCAGAGGCCCCGCCCCGGTGCTCAGAGGCCCCGCCCCAAACCGGTGCTCAGAGGCCCCGCCCCGGTGCTCAGAGGCCCCGCCCCAAACCGGTGCTCAGAGGCCCCGCCCCGGTGCCGCGCTGCGGCGGGGACGGGCAGAGCCCCGCCCCTCCGGCAGCCTCGCCCCCGGTACCCCGCGGCCATGGCGGCGGTGGCGGCGGGCTGGCAGCCGCCGTGGCGGGCGCTGGCCGCGCTAGGCCGGGAGCTGGCCGCCGAGTGGGCGGCGCAGGACGTGCGGGCCGCGCTGTGCCAGCTGCTGCTGCTCTGGCTGGGCATCAGCCTGCTGGGCGTCCGCCTGGCCTGGCGCGCCTACGGCGGGGCGGTGGCCGCGCTCTGCTACCGGACCGGCCCCGCCGGCCGCCGCTCCCCCGGCTCCGCTTCCGGGGCCTCGCCCTCCCGGCCCCGCGCGCACTCCCTGTCCCCCGCCGGCCCGGCGGGACGCAACGGCGCCGCCGAGCGGCACTGCCCGCCCCGGTGAGTCCCGACCGCTACCGGGCCCAAAACCGCCGATTGCCCCCGCTGAACCCCGCGGGCCTGCCCGGCTTCCCTCCCCCGCGTCCGGCCAGCCTCTCGGAGCGCAGCCCGGTGAGCGACCCCTGCCCAGTGCCACCCGGTGAGCGTCCTCCCAGCTGCACCCCTGCTCCAGTACAGCCCAGTGACTGCTCGCCTGCCCAGTACGGTCCGGATGGGGCCGCTGGGACACCGGCCCGGTTAGCCCCCAGCTGTGGCTTCTGACAAGTGCCCCCCAACCTGTGCCCCCGACCTTTGAGCCCCCCACCCCGCCCAACTGCACCCCAGACCAATGTGCCCCAGTAAGGGCTCCCCAGCCCTGCCCACCCCCGACGGACAGGCAGGTGCCTGCCTCAGTGCCGGGCTGCTGTGCTGGCGGCTGCCCCAGCCATGCTCACGCTTCCTCTCTCTTGCAGGGATGGCCCTGCAACAGAGCCCATGAAGACACATCGGGAGTGAGCAGCACCAGGACTGCCAGCTGGGTACTGCCAACACCAACATTAAAGTGCTGTGCCCACCTGCTGCTCCTTGTTTTGGCACTGCCAACAGAATCATAGAGGAAAGGGAAATGGGACAGAGTGTTTATTGGAGCCGGGGCACTGTGCCCACAGCATAGGCTGGTCTCACTTGGCCATGTAGTACTGGGTGGGCACAAAGGGCATCTTGGTGATGACAGCAGGATGCTGCTTCTTCCGCACCTCGACAGTGAGCTCGGTGCCAGCCCGGCTGTGTGCTGCCTCCACATAGCCCATGGCGATGTTCTTGCCCAGGCAGGGCGAGGGACATCCACTGGTCACTGTGCCTGAGATGTGAGGACACGGGGAGGTGAACGGGGCCTGGCTAGCCCTTGTCAATGCCATGGCCACAGCTTGGAGTCATGCCTGTGCCAGCCCCACTGCCCCCACCTACCCACAGGCCTGCCTTCGGGGCCCAGGATGGCCATGTGGGGCCGGATGGCGGGTCCCACCGACGTCAGCCCCACACGCCTGCGCCTTGGCTTCTCTTTCACTTGTGCCATGATGACAGCAGCACCGGGGAAGTCCATGGCCACACGCCGGCGCTTCCCTGCAGGGCAGAGATGGGTGAGGGTTGGTGATGCCTGACTGGTCCCCTTGTAGCCACTGGGGACACCTTGCTGCTCTGCCTGCCTCAAGGAGGAGGTGGAGGTTGACCTACCCAAAGTCCACATCAGCCCGGCCTCGGCAGGGGTGACAGTCTCATCAATATCATTGCCGTAGAGGCAGAGCCCGGCCTCCAGGCGCAGGCTGTCCCTGGCTGCCAGCCCTGCTAGCCACACATCGGGGACACCCAGGAGCTGCTCGGCCAGCTCCACCGCCCGCGCTGCGGGCACCGAGATCTACGGCGGGACACGGGCAGGGTCAGTGGGGCACGGCCTTCCCCTGCATTGGTATCACAGTGGGGATGCTGGCATGGTTCCCTGGGTACCTCCACGCCATCCTCGCCGGTGTAACCACAGCGCGTGACCCGGCAGCCCGGCACGCCAAAGACGGTCGTGGTGATGCTATTCATAAAGGAGAGCTTGGCCAGGTCATCCGACAGCCCTGCCTGCAGAACCCGTGCCATGGAGGGACCTGGGGAGGCAGGTGGCTGGAAGACAGCAGTGCCCAGGGAAAGGGGGGGAGGTGGGGAGGGCAGTGACATTCACCAGGAGAGGACCCAGAGGAGGGCAGGCCCATGTGGAGCCCCCACTACCTTGCAGAGCCAGCAGCGCGTTGTCTGACACCTCCAGGTGTACGTCACTGCCGGTGGCCTGCAGCTGCGCCGCTCTGTCCTGCCAGGGTGACAGAGGGCTGCTAGCACGGGGGCCAGGCCAGTGCCAGCCCCACACGTGGCCACGGCCACCTCACCCTACACAACACGGATGTCACCAAAAGGGAGAAGGACTCATTCCCACTGCGTGTCCCCTCCTCCCGCGGGGCTCAGGCGGCCCCATACCCTCAAGATGGCCAAGTCCTTGTCAGCACAGGCGGCGTTGGACACCACGTAGAGGTGATCTTCTGACGTGTTTGTGACGATTAGGTCGTCCATGATGCCGCCCTTCTCGTTGGTGAGCAGCGTCAGGGTGCCCTGCGGGACACGGCCCACAGAAGCTTGGCCGGGCTGCCTGGACCCTCCCAGGGCATCCCGGGTTCCTCCGACCCCACTGGATGCCTGGTGCCTGCCCAGTGCCCCCTACCTGTCCTGGCTTCAGCTCGGCGATGTCCCCCACTACCAGGCTCTCCATGAACCTGATGCGGTCCCGGCCGTAGACCAGGGTCTGCAAGGGGCCGGGGAGGTTGTGAGTTGGTGCGGCTACCCCCCTGCTCCAGCCCCTCGCCCCGACCCCGCTACCTGCAGCATATGGGAGACGTCGAAGAGGGAGCAGTGGCGGCGGGTGTGCAGGTGTGACTGGAGGTGGCCCTGCCCGTAGTGCAGCGGAAGGGTCCAGCCGGCGAACGGCACCATCCGCCCGCCGCGGGCCCGGTGCAGGGCATCCAGCGGCGTCTGCTTCAGCCCCTCCTCCCCGGCCCCGGCGCCCCCGGCCCCGCTCCGCGGCGCCGAGCCCGGGGGGCGGCGGGGCAGCGCGGCGCGGCAGCCCGCCCGCAGCATCTTCCTCTTCCTCCTCCCTCCCGGCACGGCTCGGACCGGCCCCGGGGCGCCTGGGACATGGAGTCCGCCCGGCCCTGGCCCCGGCCCCCGCCCCCGGCCCGTCCCGCCCTCGGCACCGCCTCCCCGGGGCTGCCGGCACGGCCACCCCCATCCCCCAGAGACAGGCGGGCACAGGCAGGGCCAACGTAGCAGCTTTTAGTGGTGACCCCCCAGCACGCCCGCACCCCTCGGTCCCCCCCACCCCTCGCAGTGTCCGGGCGCTGCCCACGGGACGTGTCCGGGAGAGGCTCCCAGGGGTCTCTGGAGTGGCGGCGCTGCCCCGCGCTGCTGGGCAGTGCGGAGGGAGTCAGGGAAGGGGCACAGGGAGGGCTTGGGACCCCCGCGGGATCAGTGGCTGAGGCGGGAATGCAGGAATCCACTCAGGCCCCGGGAGCACGGAAGGGGCACTTCTCCCCAGCTGGCACCAGCACCAGCGGGCTCAGGTGTAGGAAAGCAGGTTGACATCGTAGCAGCCATCCACCTGGGGAAGAGAGCGACTGTCACTGTCTGCACAGCACTGCTGGGATACTCCAGCCCCATCCTGCCGGGAGCCCTCCCAGAGCCATGTGGCAAGGTCAGAGTCCCTGTCAGCAGGGGGTGGGACTCACGTCGAAGCGCCCGATGCGGGCAGCTGCCTGGCGAGCCCGGATCACCTCTGTCAGCACCCACATTTGCTGGACCTCTGTCGACACCTTCTCCGGATCAGGGAGCTCCTGGAAAGAAGTGGGCACAATGCTGTGGAGCAGGGGTGGCCCAGATGGGCTGGATTATCCCGGGTTTGGGCAGTGGTGTGGCTGGATGGCTTTGCCTCCCAGGGAGCCAGGCACGTGATGGTGCCCACATTCCTGACCTGCTGGTGGTTTCCCAACGTGAGGTAAGCAGGGCCCCTCTCTAGGAAAACAAACCACTGCGGACATGGGTGAGTGACCCTGATCCCTGGGCGCTGCGGTGCCGACACAGCCCATCTCTGCTGGCAGGTGGCCAGTATGAGGACAAAAAGCTGATTGCTGGCTAATAATTAAAAACCTAATTGCACAGTCCAGAGTTTCCCAACAGCCTCACTATGCGATGCTCCCTGGGCTTGGGTGCAGAATCCTGGGCACACATACTGGTTCACCCCAGGGACCTTTAGCCAGGTGGGATATGTGGGCTCAGCAGCAGCTCTCCTGCTCCTGGCACTGGGCTGAGGGGTGCCTCACGCTGATGTTGGGAAGAGCCAATCTCAGAGCAACCTCTGGCATCTGCTCTGGATACTCCTTGCCAAGGGGAACGTGATCCAAGCAATCAGTAAGGGACTAGGGTGCCCTCCCTGAACTGTCACACAGCTGGGCAAAGATTTGGAACAGCAGTTTCACTGCTGGTGCAGTGTGAGCACCGTAGCATGGAAGCCCAGTAGCAGAACCGCCCTGGTAGGTGTGGGCTGTGTGCCACCCTCCTGCAGGCAGCACCTTCAGATTCAGCAGGTTCCCATGGGCGAGCCAGCTCCCATCCTGGCCCTGTTCTGCCTGGACTTTGCCCGCCATCTGCCAGGCAGATGTGGCTGGCAAACTGTAAACACGTGCCGTGGCTGTGATGCCCCTCTGCCCACATGCTGTCCTGGCTGGGCAACGTGTTCCCCAGAGCACACCCTCTTCAAAGTACTGGGAACCAGCCCTGTCCCCACACGTCCCACCCACCCCTGAGCGATGCTGTGCACCCACTGCTCCCACAGTGATGTCCCTGTCCCTGTCCCCACACATCCCACCTGCCACTGAACCATGCTGTGCATCCACTGCTCCCACAGGGATGTTCCTGCTCCTGTCCCCATTCCATTGCATCCCACCTATCAGCTGAGGGGCACTGTGCACCCACATCTCCCTTGGTGATGTTCCTGTCCGCAGACTAGAGGGCAATTAGACTTAAGCATCACCTCAAATAGCACATCCCCGTGGAGATATTTTTCTTCTTCGTACTGCAAATTACTTCCAGCACAAGGCGGGTTATTTCAGGGCTCCACAGCTATTCCTGGTGAAAGCCTGGAGCTCACAAGGCAGGCATGGGCCTGGCAGCCTCCTGATGGATGCTCATGGCTGGCACCCCCAGTGCCTCAGCAGTGATTACTCACCCCATGTAGGCTGGCCGGCTGCTCCGGAGGGGTCAGCTGGGAGAGCCAGGAGGGAAAATCCTTCTGAGGACTCTGAAAGAAATCCAGAGGGTCACACAGGGTGTTCCCAACCCTATCTCCATCCTTTACACTAGGTAGCGTGCTGGGGCTTAGAGCCTACCCCTAGTGATATTGCTATGGAAGTGTCACTTTACTATCCTTAAAAGAGAATTTTGTAGGGAATTCTGTGTTTTGAGCAGCTGTTGGAGCAGTCCATTCCCCAGCACCACTGGAGCACAAGTGAATCCCAAATGCCCCAGCAAAGGACAAGGACTTGGACTCACATCCCTGTGTGTGCTCCCCAAAGCTGTAGGGGGAAATGCCAGGCATAGAGCTGGGCACAGTGGCTTGTCCTGGCCCCCTGCCCATGCCTGGCAGTGGGGTAGCTCTGGCACTTGCTCACCTTCTGTCCAGTGGGGAAAATCTGCAGGTCCTCGATGGTGAAGTGGAGCCAGACTGGGGAGGGTTGTCGCAGGATGAACCGCATTGCTGTCACCTGGTCCAGGTCACACAGCATCTGCAGGGAAGGGACAGGGAGAGTAACCACAGGGGCTGGCACTGACTGGGGGCAGCTTTTGGGGTATCCTCCCAAAACCTCCAACCCACCCCAGATGAAAGAAGTCCAAGGGAAGCATCGTCCTGTGAGGGCTGGCTGGGCTAAGTGGGGCACAGGGACTCTTGCAGCCATGGGGGTCAGTGGGACATGGGCACCAGACCCCTGGTGCGGGAGCCATCCTGGGGTGTGGGCAGAGAGGGGTGAGCACCAGAGGGAGGTGACACCACGGTCCCACCCGGACATGCTGACCTGGTGCCGGTGGAGGCAGAAGTAGTCCTGGGAGCCCTCCTCGGTGTGCGGGCACGGCATCAGGCACAGGTCCCGCAGGCAGGTCATCCAGCGCCGGGACCCGCCGGGGCCGGGCCGCTGCACCCGCACGCTCAGGAACGCCGTGTAGAAGTTCCTGAACACGATCTCCTGCACCTGCGGGACCGGCGACCTCAGCCCCACAACGGCATCTCCCCGATACCGACAGCGGCATCCTCCCCCCAGTACTGGGACGGGCACCGGCAATCCCCCTCCCATACCGGGATCGGCACGTCTCCGTACCCGCACTAGCACAGCCCCATATCGGGACCTCCACGGACATCCTCTACTCTACTGGGACGGGCACTGCATCCCCAGCATCCCGCCCAGCATCTGTAAGGGTGGTACCCCAGTACCGGCATCCACCCGTTACCGGCATCCCCTCCGCCCCGGGACCGCCCCTCACATCTTCCTCATACCGCCCACGGCATCCCTTCAGCCCTGGCACCGCCCCCGGCTTCTCCCCATCCCCGGCATGCCCACCCACCCCGCCCGCCGCTGCCCCGGCATCCCCCGTCCTGCCCGGGACCAACACCACACCCGGCCCCCACTCCGCCGGCCCTGCACCGTCCCCGGCACAGCCCCGGTCTTCCCCTGGGACCACCCCGGCACAGCCTCCGCCGGCACCGCCCCCGGCATCCCCCCGTGACTCCACGGGACCACCCCGGTACCCTCCCGCCGGTGCCGCGGCGGGCGCGGCCGCACTCACGTCGGCGGCAGCGCCGCGGGGGAAGCGGAGGTCGATGACGGCGACACCGGGCCTTGCGGGCTCGGCCCCCCCGGCCAGCTGGAGGGGGGCGGCGGGGCGGGGGGCGCAGGGCAGCGGGGAGCGGCCCGGCCCGGCGGGCGGACCCGGCCCCGCCGCTCCCGACATGGCGGCGCCGCGCGGCCGCCGCGCCGGGGCGGGGCCGGGCCGGGCGATGGCGTCACGGCCCGCGGGCGCCGCCAGGGGGCGCCGCCGCCCCGCCGCCGCCCCCGGGGCCGGGCGGGCTCCGCATCCCCGCGCCGGGGCCGCCCCGCGCCTCCCCCGCACCGGCACCGGCAGCCCGGGCGCGTTTATTTTCTTCTCGGCCCCGCGGCGCCGAGACCGGAGCTGGGAGTTGAGCACCACCCCGCTGCCCTCCCGGGGCCACCCCGGTGCCCGGGCAGCGCCGTACCCGAGTGAAGCGGCGGGTCCGGCCCGGTGTGCGGGGTCAGCCCCTCCACCCGGGGCGCACAGGGGCAAATCCCAGCGGGGGATGCCGGGGCTCGGAGCAGAGGGGATAGGGCCGGTACCGGTACCGTGGCGGGTCCCCCGGGGCCGGCCCGAGGGGCTGAGCCCGTACAAACTGCTGGCAGCCGCACACCGGTTTTTAAGTCTTTTTTTTTTTAATAAAACAATCGGAGTCTGTATCAAAAATTTAGTAAAAAATTAGATTTGAGAGTTTACCGATTTTTTTTAACTATTAACTATTCCTGGCGCTCTTTTTTATTTTCTTTTTCTTTTTATTATTTTTTTTAAAACTTTTTTATCTTTTCCAACAGTGTCCAGGCTGGAGTTGCCAGTGAGACCAGCGAGGCCATTCCTGCACAGTCCCAAGGAGCAGCCGGGACAGAGAACACACCCTACTCTCGTCAAAACACCCCACGGGGAGGGGGTTTTGCTTCAAATCGACCCCCCCCCCCCAGCAACTTTGGTGCTCGCTGGGAAGCAGAGAAGTTCGTCGTGGCACAGGGCTCAGCTCATGCTTCTGTGAGCACTCCCTGGCACAGCAATGCACCCCCTGCTCAGCCATGGGCACCCCAGGCCAGGCTGACCCAACTCATGACTGCTTTATGATGCGTGAGAAAGATAGGATTTCTTTGATTAAAAATAAAATAAAAATGATAAAAGAATCAAACCCCAAACCAAGAAGCTGATCCACCCCAAGAGGAGGAGGAGGAGGAGGAGGAGGAGGAGGCTGGCTGGCCCCGCTGACCAGCCCGTGGAGCTCGCCTGCAGCACAGCACTGCCCTCCCCCTCCCCAAAAACTACACATCCCAGTTTAGGTAAACAGCAGATTAAATGTAAAAACTTAAACCATCGACTTCAGAAAGTCCCTTGAATTTAATTATTTTTAGGCTACCTTTCATGTTACGTCCTGTAGCTAGACACACGTGAATAGAAAAAACAGTACAGTTAGTGTTAAAGGCAAACAGCGGAGACCCAGAGTGCTACCCCAGTGCTGCCTGCTCCTCCCGACCCGGCCCGACCCGTCCCGACCCCCCTCCCTGCCCACCGCCCCGGCCCCGGCCGTAGCCCAGCCGCCGGGAAGGCGTCTTTGAGCCGAGAATTTTTTTCTATGAATAAAATAAAACCAAAGCTTGTTAGGCAAAAATAAAACAAGTGTCCCCCCGAGTCCCACGAGCGCTCCGGTGCGGCGGGCGCAGCCGGGGAGAGCCTGCTGGGGAGCGGGCTGGGCTTTCATGTTCCTGGCTGGCGAGGGGGCTGCCGGCCCACAGACAGCACCGGTGTGGAGCTGGAGGCCCCTTCTCCCCCGAGAGCCTCCTGTTTGTTAAGGGGGCACGTAGGGCGGTGGGGACCTGTACGGGGTCATGTTCTTCGGGCGGGAGCCTTTCCCCTCCATGGGTGCAGTGAAGGGGGGGGGAGGCTGGTAGGGCGGCGCGTTGGGGTCCTCGTCCCGCAGCGGAGTGTACTCCCCGATGGTGTCCTGGTTGAGTGGCGTGGTCTCCGGCATGCTCTGGTTGGGGTACTCTGGAGGGGGCAGTGGGGCTTTCTCCTCCTGGAGGATGAGGGGCATGCTGGAGGATGGTGGGGGCTTGGAGTCGTCCAGCTCGTCGGCGAAGATGATGGGCACGCCTTTCTTTATGAAGGTGGCCTGGTCTTCGATGGTCAGCTTGCCTTTCCTCTTCTTGCGGTAGCAGATCATGGCAATGATGCCAGCCACGAGGAGGATGGCGGCCACCACCACAGCAGGGATGACAGTGTGCAGGTACACATCGTCCTCGCTGCTCTTCTCGGGGTCTTTGCCTGCTGCCACCGTTGGCGTTGCCTCTGAGATCACCCTGCCATCCTTGGTCACGGGGACAAACTGGATGTGCCTGCAGCTGCCAGAGCCAACCACAGACACATTCAAAGGCTTGAACTCGGGCTGCAGGACATTGGAGAAAGCTGGGCTTGGCTTGCCGGAGTCATCAGCAATTTTTTTGCTCAAAGTCCGGATCTGCTCCCGAGGACAAGGCTCCAGTGGCAGTGTGTTGTTGGTCCACTCCACCACGATGGAGCCTTTAGCAATGTCCTGCACCGTGATTGTGCTGCTGTTCCTGTCACCAAACGCCAGAGCCAGCTTCTTCACCAGCATGATCTTCTTATGGATGTCATTCACCACTGCATTATGGTCCCCTTCCAGCCTAGCCTTGAACTTCACCGGAGACTTGTCCCCATGTGGGCGTTTGTGGACATGGATTTCAAAAGCATCCACTGCAAAAAGCCCGCCCTTGTCAGTGGCATACATGAAATACTCGTGCTTCCCAATGTGGTTGTGGTCAGGCATGCCATACATGAGCTGGCTGGTGCTGTTGAACTGCACCCATGAATTCTCCTCGATCATCTGCTGCTCCTTCAGCTTCAAGGTCAGCTGGAGCTTGTCCGTGGTGGTGTCTTCCTTGTCGTAGAAGGTATCTGACGGTATCTTAACCTCGAAGTATGTGCCCTCCCACGCATCGACCCTGTCGATGTGGTTCGTCAGCTTGGGTGGCTCGTTGGGCTCCCAGGGCCGCGGCAGCCCGCTGGCCGTGGTGCGCACGCGGGACGGCGGAGAGGCCGTTGTCAGCTTGGAGATGGGTGATCTGGTTGTGCTGGGAGGCTTTGTTGGACGCGGCGTTTTGGGCCTTCGAGTAGGCCTTCGTGTTATTGCTGTGGAGGAATCTGTCGTGGACGGTGTGGCTGGTTTCAGGGTGGAGACTCTTGGTTTCTTGGTGGTAGTTGAGGGCGGTGTGATCACTGCTGTAGGCTCTATGTACCCAGGCATCGTGGGGCGAATCGGCACCGAGGCCGTGCCCGTGCCTTCCGTTACCCTGGTTGGCTGGATTGGCCCCAGCGTGGGCGTCTGGACAATGGGGCCTCTGGTTCTGATGGTGACTGTTGGCTTCCTTGGCAGTGGAATGGGCTCCCGGACAGGGGGTGCCGTTGTCTCTGTGGGAGGCGCGATGGCGGGCGACGTTGGGGTGGGGACAATCCTGGTGGGTGGCTCTTGTGCGGCAGTGGTGGGCGGCCCGATGGCAGTCAAAGGCGTAGGGGTGGCGTTGATCTGCCGCCGTATCCTCTTTGGGAGGTGAGGTTTCTTGTTAGCAATGTGCCAGCCAACAACCGGGTAGCCAAGGCGGGCAGACATAGTTCCTTCCTTAGCTGGGGCCTCCACCTTGCTGATGTTGGGGACACTGTTTTGGCTCAGGGAACATCCCAATTTCCATGAGAGTAAGGCCCCATTTTCCACCACCTTCTTTGCATTTCCTGGTCCAGCCATGAAGGCCGACATGTCAAAGAGTCTGTTATTTACAACAGGAACCAACTTCATGTTGTGAAGTTCCACCTCTGAAAAGCTTCTCATTCTGTTTAAGAGTTCAATCCTCTGCTTTGGTGTCATTTTTGTTAAGTCAGCATCCAAAATGACAGTCAGTATAGTGACTGGCTCTTCCGAGCCACACACGAAGGGCGCTGTGTCACTCGTGTCTTGGACGGCCACTCGCACTGACTGAGGCTCGTTGTGGTCCTCTTGATGGACTTCAACGGAGAAGACGTTTGTGGTCTGTGGGACATAGCTCCCATTTGGGAAGGGCTGCAGAGTGGTCACCGAGATGTAGTGGACACCCTTGTCTGTGTCAAGGGGCAGCCCTTCCAGGGAGCTGCTCTCCGCATTCCAGTGCAACCAAGAAGGTAAGGAGTCCTTCCCAGCTTCGGAGATCTACCAAACAAAGAAACAAAAAAAGCTTTTAGAAGTACAGCATGAGGACAGCTTCTATCAGCAGTTACGCTTAATTTCAAGGATTAAAGAAAAAAATCTAAAGTGTAATAACTGGGGAAAGAACATCCTGACCAGAGCATGGCAGCCTTTGTCTCCTCCTCCACATGTTGGCATGGATGAGTTCTGCAGGGTGCAGACCCAAAGGGCTTAAGGAGCCACAAGAGGTCATAAAGTTCCACAAGGCCCCCTCGCCTGCAAGTGCTCCAACACTTGCTGTGCAACTGCCAAGCACAAGTGGTTTATTTTCTCTGAGGGCAGACTGGGAGTTTACATCATGGGGACAGTGACAAAGCTGAGGGTGAAGTTATGCTGTTCAGCAGAGCTGATCCAAAAACTGCCCTCTTCCCACTCCTTCCTCTCCCAGCTTGGCCATCTTGCTCCTTTCCTCACCCCATCACACCCGGCCCACCCTACATACATCAAGTGCACTGCTCCAGCAGCTCAGCAGAACATGTATTTTCTCTACTTATTTTCAGCTTGTCCCACTGTCCCCAAAGCCAGGATGACCCAGAGTGGCCAGAAGCTGGCCAACGATGGTTCTGAGTCCCTGGCCTGGCTGGAGCACACCAGCTCTCAACAAGCAGCATGAAATCCTGAGAGCTACCTGGTGTTGTTCGTCTCTGCCAGAGGAACAGCAGCCAAGGCTGAAGGAAGGGAGCAAACCCAATGTGTCATGGCCAGTGTGGGCAGGCAGGGATGTGGCACTTGGGCTGATGAATTGCTGGACATGACACAGGACAGCATTCCAGCCTGGCTTCACCCCCGGGCTAGCTAAAAATGAAGGACTTCACTTTCACATAACTTGCTGCTGCAAGAGAAGGCTTTGTTTCAGAGCACAGGCACCTCAGGGCTCCAACACACTCTTTGCTACCTCTGTCAGCCTGGGGGACTCTGTCTCCTGCCCTGGGTTGTAGCTGAGGGTGGGTGCAAACCCCCAAGCCCCCCCAGCTGCTGGCAGCTGAGATCCTCTGCTCTAAGCCGCTCGCGGATCATGCGGCGCAGCGGAGCCGCTCGGGCTGTGCGGTGGAAGGGGTGAGGCTGCCAGCTCGGTGGGTTGTGACATTTCCCGGGGCTGCAGGTACTCCAGAGTGAGTAACCTGAGCTTCATCACCTCCCAGACCCGGAGGCGTTTGGCAAGTGCGCTGGCTGGGCTTTCCAGAACTCCACGAGGCATCTCCCCCTGGCACTCGGAGCAAACAGGATGCTCTGGGGCTCATGGAGACACATTTAGCAGCCTGGTCCATGGTCTGGGCTCACTGCAGTCCAACACAGAGCCAGGCTCTAACTCTCTTCCTGAAAGGGTGCTTTGGTTCTCTGCAGTCCTGTAAAGCTTATACATATTTCATCATTTACCCAAATGCAAAGCTGGGAGAGGAGCTTTGCAAGGAAACCTGCCTGGCAGGAGCATTCCTACACCCAGCAGCAGGTGCAGAGCTGGGGCTGGACTAGCCAGGCAGTCCTGCTGGGGAAAGCCCCTGGATGGACAAGGAAGGATGCCTGATGCTGCAGGGCTGGGCACACTGTGAGTCCTGGGTGCCACTCCCACTCCCTGGCTGCAGGCAGGCTCCAGACAGCACCCTGGGAATCACCCCCACACTGTGGGTTTCAGCACATGGAAGGGTCTGGATGCACAGCTCTGCCAGCATAATGCAGGACCCAAAAATCTTTTGGCAAGAGCAGCAGGAAAAAAGCTTTTGTGCAAGAGCTACAGAGGGCTTCAGCCAGCCTGGACAAGTTGGAGAGTACATCATGAGCCACATGCTGGGTACAGTTTATAGAGCAGAGTTTAAAGCTCTCAGGACAGCTTTAGTTAACTCCTCACCAGCAATATGCCAGAGCAGAGAATTCAGATTCCTGCTTACAACAGCTGGAGGAAGCTGTCCCAAGGGCC